TTTATCGTAAAATTCACCCTTCTATATCCCTCTATCTATATAGTTAATTCCCTAGTAATAAGATATTCCCTTTATACCTTCTTAAAGGACCGGAATAGTAAGAGTATATTATAGATATTAAGGGAAGTACTAGAGTTAAGGATAGCTAATTTTCGTAGGGGATAATCGGAGGGCTCTAATAGTTAGTCTTAGCCTTATTAATTTATAGGGAAGATAAAGGCCGGATTTACTATACTAATAATTTTTCCTTAAATTTACGGCTTAAATAAGGGTAGTAGCGTTATTAGTTACTATTTCTTAGTAACCTAAATCTCGTTTATTTTCTTTTATAATAAGGGGTCCTCCTTAAGAGACTAATATACTATTTCTTATAGTCTCTTTAATAGGTTAATTCCTTTAAGTCGGTTTTCCTTAAAGACCTACTAATAGTCTTCTAGCTAATAGGTATAACGACTAGTATTATTCCTAAGGGATAAACCTATCGAGGGGTTTATATTAGCAGATATAATAGGGCGTAGTCTAAGCAATAATAAGTATATTATATTAGTAATAAGTTAGAGGTCGTAGACTATAGACTATAACTAGGTAATTAAAATTAGAGATAGAATCGTAATAAAGATCTATAATATATTAAAAGCTATCGAGCTATCTATCTAAAGGAGTAAAAGTAGGTAGCTATATATACCTATAGAGACTATCCTTAGATTATAGTCCTAGCTATAATCCCCTTCGTAGCTTACTATAGCTTACTCGTAAGCTATGCTCCTAAGTAGTAATCTATCTATATAAGGCTTACTTAGCTTATATACGCTCTAGGTAAGCTAAGCCTAAGTAACTTCTCGTCCTAACTATTATTCCGAGCCGCCTTATTACGTAAACGTGGCCGGCTCTCCTATGGCCCGCTAACCGTGGTCGTAATACGATATCTCCCCTCCTTTTAGTCTTATCTATAAGACCTACTACTGCCTTAGCCGCCGTATATAAATATACCCTTATCGCGCGTATATATATTCCCTATTTCGTCCTTTCTATCCCTTAGGATATACTACTAATAGTATATCTAGTTACGTATTAAAGGATCGTTCTCGTAAGACCCTTAAGCGTATTCGTTTAGCTAAGTCTATTAATCGTCTTAGTTTCGACGTTATACTATATTCTTTTTATTCGTCGCGCGGCTTCCGCTATAAAATACTAGAGAAATCTTCTAAGTATGCTAAATATATATAGCGGGGTCGTTCCTACGATATATTAGGCGTAGCGATTAGCTCTTATAGGTAACTTCGTTGTCCTACCTATTATTTATAGCTAACGTGTTTCCTAGTATCCCGAATAAATCTAGAGTCCGATCGATTAGATAAAGAAGAAGAAATTACTAAGGAGCGAATATTAAAAGCTTAAGCCGACCTAAATAAAGCCTTAGCTCGTTTAGCGCGGCTTTGCTATTAAAAGCGCTAGCTAAAGATAAAGGGTACCGAGATAGTCCGTTAGGGCCTTCGTTCCTTAGATAACCTTAACGAGGCTAAGCGCTAAGAATCTAAAGCGGTAGTCGATGTTTAGTCTATAGGTAGATTTAACGTAATTAATTAGAATACTATTAGTTCGTTAGGCGATTTTACGATACCTAAGGTAGATTTTACTAGTAGAACTATTAAAGTAAAGAACTATAGTAAGTTAAGTGCTTAAGTAGTTCCTAGGTATTTTCTTTTAGTCCGTATCCTTTTTACTTAATAAGGTATTTTTATTACTAACCTTCTTTTCTTATATCTAGTATTTATTCTACTTTATATTCTTAATTATTATTAACTTTAATTTTTTCCTATAGTTTAGCGTTTCGTAGTACTAGTTCTAATAATAAGATATAAAATATCGGGTATATCTATATTATTATTAGTAGTAAAAGTTCGTAGTTAACTTTTAAAATAGTTTTCTTAACCTTAAACGGTCTAAGTTTCTTAAAATCTAATTTATTACTTAGTCGTTTTATTTTAATATTTCGTCGTATAAGGTAGACTATATCTCCCTCTCGAAAGATTAGTCCTTATAATCTTTTCCGATTATAGTAAGTAGATATTCGTTCTTTAACGAATTAAAGTTCTTATTATATTTCTTTATATAATTTTTATAGCTAATCTACTTATAGTATCGCTTATTCCGCTTATAGTCCTTATCGAGTAACCTTAAATACTTCTAGGTTATATCTATAATTAGCGTATACTAGTAAGAGCTTAGTTATTTCCGTAACTAAGCTATTATAAGCTAGTTACGCTATTAATAGCTATTTAACTTAATCGTTTTATTCGTAGCTAATATAGTATCGTAAATATTATTTAAGCGTTTAGTTAAGTCGTTCTATTTATCTATCTATTTATAGGTAATAAGCTATACTAAGCTTATATTTCGTCCCTAATTATACTATAAGAGCTTACTAAAACTTAGCTATAAATATACTTCTTTTATTAGAGATAATCTTATTCGGTAGTCCGTAATTACTAATAATTATTTATAGGAATATATATACTAGCTCTTTTATATTACTTATTTCTTTATATAGTAAGAAGTATTTATACTTCGTTAATCTATCGGTAATAACGAATATACTATCGTACTTAACGTTAGTTATAGGTTCTTTTAACGGTAGTAGCTTTATAATATAGTCGAAAGCTATTAAATCCTATAGTTTCTCTAGTACTAGTAGCGGTTATAATTCTCTATATAGTTTATATTATTTAGCTTTACTTTATACGTAAAGTTTATATTCTTTAATAACTTATTATACTACTTCTTTAAGCTATAGGAAGTTATATTATCGTTTAATCCGTTTTATTATTCTTTAGATTCCTTAGTATCTATATATTAAATATTTATATATATCTTATATAACTTTATCTTATAATTCTAGTAGTATCTAAATTTTATTTTTATATATTAGAACTTCTAAATATCCTATATTATATCCGTTTAATACTTTATATTTTTTTATCTATTTTAGGATCTTTTAGTAAGTTAAGTCGTCGGGTTATACTTTAAATATTATATTTAGCTATCGTTGCTAGTAGTTCCCGTTTTCGTTGATTTCTAGGAGCTGCCCTTTCGCTATAGGTGCCCCTATATTATAGTTACTTTATCGACTAAGGGTATTAGCTCGACCGTTTTCTATTCCTTTTCTATAGATTATTTCGTAGTCGAATTCTAATAAGTATTCGGCCTATTAGATCTATCGTCCGTTTAACTATTACGTCGTTATAAAATATAAGATATTCTTATAGTTTATATAGACCTTAACTTTATATTTACTTCTAAGAAGGTAGTATCGAAATTCCTTAAAAGCTTAAATAATTATAAGGAATTCTTTATCGTAGATAGGGTAATTAAGTTCTACGCTATATAGCTTTTTCGAGTAAAATATAATTAGTTATAGTCTTTCTTTATTATCTTTTTATCCGATTTATACTTTTAAAGCAAAGTCTAATATATCGGTTTTAAGTTCGATTTATCGTTTTAGATCGAAGGTAGTTAAGACTAGTTCTTATATAATTATAGTTTTAATATATTCGAAAGCTTCGTTAGCTTTATCGTCCTATATAAATTCTTTTTCCTTCTTCGTTAAGTTATATAGTAGTGCTATAATTTTTCTAAAATCTTTAATAAATCGTCGGTAGTAATTTATAAATCCTAGGAAACTTTATATATCCTTAACGTTCTTTAGCGTTAGCTATTCTTTAACTAAGTTAATCTTATCTTATTATATATATATCTCTCTTAATAAGATCGTATATCTAAGGAAGTCTACTTCCTATATATAGAACTTACTTTTCTTTAGTTTAACTAATAACTTTATATTCTAAAGTACGCGGAGTACCTTATAGACGTATTCCTTATATTCTTCTAGGGTATCTAAGAAGATTAGGATATTATCTAGGTATACTACTATAAAGATATCTAAGTATTCGCGTAGGATATTATTAATTATCTATTAAAAGGTAGCTAGTATATTTATAAGTTTAAATAGTATTACTAGATATTTAAATAGTTTAAATTTCGTTTTAAAGGCTATTATCTATTCGTATCCCTTTTTTATATATATTAAGTTATAGGCGCCTTTAAGGTCGAGGGCTATAAACTATTTTTTACTATATAGTCGATCTTATAGTTCCGATATAAGCGGTAATAGTATTCGGTCCTTTATTATAATATCGTTTAAGCGTCTATAATCGATAACTAATCGTAGCTTACCGTTTTTCTTTAAAATAAATATAACTAGATAGCTTACTTTAGATATTAATATTCGTATATATCCTTTTTATAGATTCTTATCGAGGTAGTCGTATAGCGTTTATAGTTACTTTTTATTTAGGTTATAGATTTTATAGAACGTCGGCGTTATTCTATCCTTAAGATAAATTTCGTGGTCCTATTAGCTATATTTAGGTAACCCTATCTTAAGTTCTTCCTTAAAGAGTTTACTATATTTTTAGTATTCTTAGGGGATGTTCTTTATTCTATCTTATAGGCTTTATTCTTTCTTTTAAGAGCTAGTTTCTCTTAACTTAAGCTCTTTATTAATTTATTTAAGGTCTTTCCTTAAAGTAGCAATAACTCTTTAGATCTTTATATTATATCCTTTATGATGGTAGGCACCTATGTGCCTACAGATACGCATGCGCACAAGCTGTAGGCTGAGTCACAGTCACGACAGGTAGGGTAACCGGTGATGACTTCAATTGTAACTAACTAGGGAAGAGGAAGCTATTCACAAGAAACGGAATGTGCACCTGGTAATGGGGCATGCAGCCGGGGCTGCGTGCCCTGATCGCGGGGTAGGTGTCACGTGGGAGTCGTGCATGAACCGTGATGGTATCCCGATTGCACGGGTTACTCAGCAGGTTAGTATTCCAACACAGGCAGTCTTTTCTTTTCGTGATGGAATCCGAAGACTGCCGTGCCTGCCCTTCATTCCGGTCTCAATGAAGGGAGGCTCGTCATCATGGAGTCGTTTGTCGTTAGGTGGTGTCTGCGGTCACGGGTCGTTGTACATATCCTTCCACTCGAATCGTCAGCCTGTTCGTCTCAATCAACCGTTCCAAAGCACGGTTGGGTGCTGCTTTGGTCATCGCATCAGCCGGGTTGTCATCCCCATTGATCCAACGGATCTCTGCCATCTCGCGCTGCTCGTAGGACTGCCTTAGCGCCATGATATCAATCATGAGTCGCTTCTCTTTCGTGGTCCCGAGCTTTACGAGGCATTCGTATAGCGAGTATGAGTCGGTGCAGACAATGAGGGGAGTCGGGGGTAGGTCCAGCTGCTTGACAATAGCCTGCAGGGTGGTCGCGATGACAATGGCCATATCGAATCCGTTGACCATGCCGTAGATCTCCGAGGCTAGCACGCTCCGGGTCACTCGCTTGCTCTTCGTAGATGACCAGTGCAGGACATTGCCTCTGATCGTGAAATCAGCAGGGCTCTGTTCCTCGTTGGCGAGCACAATAACAAAGCCCAGTTGTGAGCTTAGGTCTTTGTTGTTCGCGAACGAACCGTCCGTGAATACCATTAGCTTCGCAGTCGAAAAGGCCAAGGGAACATAGCGGAGTCCTCGTTGCAGGTTGTCGGTCTGCCATTGTATCCGCTTGTTCAGGGTCTTGTAGTCCGGGGCTTCCGGCTGCTGCACTTGTGCTGCGACTGAGTAGTCGAACGTGGCCTCGGGCTGGCAGATTGATGCGATATATGCTCCGCGCGCGCGCTGTTGGGCGTATTGCTGCGCGCGATCCGTGGAGGAGAGAAAGATGGTGGCTAACTTCTGGCCTTGGCCCTTCTGCTGGATGATAAGGTCGTCTTTTTCGGCTAGAAGTGTGCAACCATTAAACTCGAGGGGAGTCGCGGCCGATAGCTGGCTCCTTGGTTTCGAGCGGAGCTTAGCCTTCTGGATCTCTCTTTCTTCTGCGGCCGCGAACTCAGGGGAGGCGAGGAGGAGGGTGTCATCCGTCTGCATAGCGACCATGCCGAAGCCGGCGGCTTGATCATTGGAGATCAACAAGCAGGGGTCAAAGGTGGAATGTGTCATACCGAGGCGCTCACGATGATGCCTATAATATGTCACGAACCAATGGAGACCTGACTCTGCTATGCCATACAGGAAGGATGACATGGATGATGGTGTCTGGGGATAGCGGGCACTAATTCCGCTGGGAGGCGTGCGAGTATCGTACGATTCAGGGGTTTTGGACTGAATATATGCTTGTGTGATATCACGCAGGAAGACGGAGGCTTCACCTGCGAGGAGGGGCAATTGAGAGGAGTAGCCGCTGTGCTGCCGTTGCACGGTCGGCGACTGGGTAAGGATATTCCCTTTATCACGATCGTTATAGCCTTGAATGACGAGACGGGATTTCTCGTAGGGCCTTGTGGTTGGTCCGAGTCCTTTAACTTCGCGGACCATGCGTGCTTTAAAGAGTCTTTGGCCTTGTGGGCCACGGGGTCGAAACGAATGAACTCAAACACACCCTGTGCGATTAGGTTGTTAATCTCTTGGGTATCGGACTGTTCAAAGGGGCACCTGGTGTGGTGATGTGGCCTTCGCGGCGCAATTGAACAGCGTGATCATAGTGATTAACTTCCTTCTTTGACAGGTTGGCTACGCCGGTCTTGGGCTTGTTCTTGGAGCCTTTGGGGCGTCCTCGTCGGCGTTGTTCAGGTAGGAGCACAGGGCAGGGCATCATCTTGATCGGGGTTAGGGGTGCATTGGGGTCGACTCGTCGGGGACGGCTGCGAGTCGTCGTGGGGTTGTGATGAGGGCCTGAGGATCACGGTGGTATTTCTTGACCGCTGTGATCCTGAAGTTGCGGGGCCATTGACATGATTGATTGTTATTTCGTGGCCGTTATTGCCGATAACGATCCACGGGCCGGTCCAGCCGTCAGCCTCTCTCCACACGAGGACCTCGCTCTGCAGGGAAGCTCTGCAGCGCGCTCTACATTTGGTCCATTCCTCGTGTTGAGGGCATCTCTAACCTGACGGGCAGCGGCAGCACGGTGCAGGGCTGCCATGGCTTTCCGAATAGCCTCTGCGCGCTTGATCATAGGGGGAGAGGGCGGTGAATCGTGGTTGATTCGTGGGTATGCGCCGAAGACGAGGAGGGTAGGGACAAGGCCATCCGGGCCGGCTGTGTCATTGACTGCCTTTACAGCCATTTGGAGGAGGGCATCTGGGCTTCTCGACTCACCCAACTCTGCTTGGAGGATATCGTAGGCGCGGCGGAGGGGGCCGTGTGCCTTTCTACCTTTCCAATCGAGTTGTGGGCTTCGATAGGCACCTGCCTGCAAGTGATACCCATCAGCGATGCCTCTTTTGGAACTCCTCTGCTGCAAAGTTAGTGCCGGCATCGTGGCGCATAAAGTCCGGGGCCTTGGTAGGTGTCTATCCACAGCATCCGTAGCGTTTCCCAGGTGTCTCGGGCGGTCATCGAGGGAGGAACCTGGCGCCTTGGAACGCTGTGGCTTCGTCGATCACGTGTAGCACAGGCTTTCCGCCTATTTGGACTACATCCGCGGTTATCTCGAAATTGAACTCGCGGTCGTCTCTAAGGGTAAACCTGAAGCGTTGGGGAGGTGCCGTTGATTTGACAGTGGTGGCACATCCTCGTGATCTCACGGATTGACTGCTCATCAATATCATCATGCCCGGCACATCTAAGCAGTCGGTGGAGTCTAGCTGTGGCCGGGTGACCGAATCGTCGGTGAAGTCGTCGCAATTCGCGTTCGGTCAGGAATACTCTCAGCAGTCTTCACCTAGATGGAACCATGCGTGGCCCCATTTACGTACTGCGGGAACGCGAATGTCATCGCGGACGACTTCGTTGGTCTGATTGTTGAAAAACAAGCCTAGCCGGTCCATATCGGCTAGGGAGAGGAGGAACGGGGTCTTAGTGGGAAGAACGTGGAAATCAACGGGCCCGAATGCCGTGCGAATCGCGGTCGCACCGACAGACACAATCCGGGGTCCATCTCCAAAGGAGATGCCTGCCTGGCCTGCGCGGGTGGTATCGAGGGTAGCGCAGTGGTCTTCGCGCTGCCAGGCATGGAATTGGTCTAGGCCAGCGGTTGAAACGTCGGAAGCACCTGTGTCGAGCATGATGCCCTGATAACGCGTTGTGTAACGGTCATCGACAAGGAATTGTTGTGCCGGGGCCTTTGAGGAGCGCTATAGGCATCTTCCTTAGTCAGACGGTGTAAAACAGCGTAATCTGCGAGGAATGATTGCGTGAAGAACAGCGAGCCAATCGCTGGGTCTTCATCGTCAATTTCATTGGCAGTATCATAGTCAGGGACAGGGTCTCGTCAAGTTCATGACCTTCGAATTCGGCGAGGAACATGGCGAAGTCCGGGGTCGTGTCGGAGGCATTGTGGGCATTAAGGAAATACATCCGTGATTGTTTCCGTTCTTCTATGGTATGCTTGGTAGACCAACAGCCAGCTTTGCCGCAGATGAAGCACGCCTTCTTTCTCTGCGGCTGTCGTTTGGGGTTCGCGCTGTTATTGTTGCGGAAGGGGGGTCTATTCTGTTGATACTTGCGGTCGGTATACCATTGGGTGCTACCGTTGTCCGTGATCGCAAGTTCAATAGAGGCGCGGAGGTCGGCAAAGAGTTGTTCGCAATGGGCGGGGCTTTGTACAAGGCTTGCTTGAGCTCAGGCGTTCCACGGCAAGCGCGGATGACTGCGTTGCGGAGGTTGCTTTCGCCAGCTATTTCCGGCCCAATCGCTCGTTGACACAATTGGAGCTTGTCAAGCATTATATCAAGCACAGCGTGGAGGTCCTTGTCACTGTGCTTGCTACGGACACTGTTGAAGGTGATAGTTGACCAGTCCGTATGGTAATGCTCCAGATTCACGTTGGTATCGAAATGTTGCTTAAGTTGTCGGTAAGCGGCGGCGAACGTGAGGTCTGGGTCAAGATAAAGGTCATAGTAGGTCTTTGCTCGACCTGTAAGGGCGCGGGGGAGAAAGGCGTGTAGCTGACTCTCGGGGACTTCAACCGAACGGCAGGTGGTTAGGAAGTTCCTGATCTTATCGTCAAGGAGATCGTAAGGTTGACCTGAGTAGGTATCTTCCTTATTCCAAATCTTGACGAAGAGGGCGAGAGTCTGGGCATTGGTCGGGTGTTCGGCACGTCTCGTGGTGGCAATGTGCGGTATGGGGTGTATTGTGGCGGATCTGACTTGGCTCTTGGGAATCGCCACTGAATTGGGGTAGGTAATAGGGGGAGCTGGTGTTACCTGGGGAGCTATCCTTGTGCGGTGAGGGAAGGTGTAGCTCGTCGGAGCGTTTGTAAAAGCGGTTGGGGTGACGGATTGAGTGGCCTGCTGGACAGGTTGTACAGGCGGTTGAATAGGTGGTGAGAGGGGCAAAGGGATCGCTGCGGGCACGGGTTGTGCTCCTTCGTCGATGGAGGTGACCGGGGTATCCTGGGTTTCCAATATTCTTCGGTGACGAGGAAGCGAGAAGATAGTCATGTCGGCATCTTCTCAAGGGGCCAGTGATCACTTCCTTCGTACGAAGATAGTTGACGAATGCAGCTCGAATCGTTGGCTCAATCCTTCCGAAGAGTGCACTATTCCATCCTTCGAAGTGCTCTTGGAACATAATAAGAGTGTCGATTCTTCCTACATTGGCTCTCTCATAGTCGGTCCACGCACGGGCGAGTTGTGTGATCAGGTGGCGTGGCGTTGGCTCTTCCTCTGGGTTCACAGGGGTATGCCAGAGGGATAGGTCAATGTCTGACAGGTCGATCGGTATGCCAGTATATTTGTCCAGCCATCCTTGCACTCTCTCCTGGCTTGGGGGATCGCGAGCAATATAGATAGTAGGGACGGGGGTATTACTACTGCCTCCCGGGGCACTGCTGCTAGGTCCTGCAGACATAGTGTCGGAGGTGAATGGTAGTAATCAATTGTACTGATTAAAGCACAATCGCGAGGAGTCGGAATGCGTTGCTGACGCAGCTAAGCTATGTCTTTCCTTTCCTTCGAACGGTCGGTGAGTTGCTCGGCGGAACGGCAGTTAGGAATAGCAATAGGTTAGCCGTAGGTTCTGCTTCTTTCTTCCGAACGGCACAGTGAGTTGAAGGCGGATCGGAATAAGGAGTGTCTCCTGCTCTTAGCACAAACTTGTCGTCTTCGAACGGTCGGTGAGTTGCTCGGCGGAACGAATCACGGAGTTTGTCTCTTCTACCCGTAGAGGAAAGTATCACTTTCTCCGAACGGCACGGTGAATTGCAGGCGGATCAGATCGGTGACTCTTCGTCTACCTTGCTGCTCTGTGGCTCCTTCGGGACCTGGAACCACTGATCAGTGATGGTAGGCACCTATGTGCCTACAGATACGCATGCGCACAAGCTGTAGGCTGAGTCACAGTCACGACAGGTAGGGTAACCGGTGATGACTTCAATTGTAACTAACTAGGAAGAGGAAGCTATTCACAAGAAACGGAATGTGCACCCGGTAATGGGGGCATGCAGCCGGGGCTGCGTGCCCTGATCGCGGGGTAGGGTGTCACGTGGGAGTCGTGCATGAACCGTGATGGTATCCCGATTGCACGGGTTACTCAGCAGGTTAGTATTCCAACACTTTATTCTATTTATATCGGATGCTAGGTTATATAGCTATATTAGTTAGTACGTAGGTCTTATTAGTTAATTTTATTATATCCGCTAGTTCGGTTACTATTTTCGTTTATATCGCTAAAGCCTATAATAATTTACTTAAATAGTTATCCCTTTTATCTTATTTAGTAGCTAAATTATTATAAAATTTTACTTTCTCCTAAATCTACTAGTCTTAGAAACTTACGTCTTTATCCTAACGTAGCTAGCTAGTTTTCTAGTTAATTAGTAGGTTGCTCTCCTATAGCTATAAAAGCCCTAATATAAGGTTATGTTCTTTAACGTTTATAATATCGAAGTTAACTTATTTATTATAGCCTTAGATATTAATATCGAGGTAATTAATCTCTTTATTAATAATTCCGTTATTATAGTTAAAGGCCTCTCCTTTAATATTCGTAAGTTTATATAGATCTTTCTTATATCTCTATATAAGTCGGTAACGATTAACGACTCTAGGTAAAATATAATTGCCTATTGCGCCGTAGTCTAAAAGTATACGTACGTAATATCCCGCGATTTAGATATTTAATACTATTTAGTTATTATAGCTTGCTATTACTATATATAGGGTCCTTAAATCTTATCGTATTATGCTAGTCTATAGCCCTTTTATAGATAGCGTACCTCGTTTTTTACTTAGTCCTTATTTATTTTATTTAGGTATTCTTCTTCGATTTATTATTAATATCGTTTCTTTATATTTTTATCGCGTAGTATTATATCGGGGCTTAAGAGACTAATTTCTTATAGTAAATTAAAGATTTCTTATTTCTCGACGCTATATTATTTATATTATACTACTTTATAGTTAATTACGTACTATACTTTATAATTCTATTCGTTTTCGTACTAAAGGTTAAGTTTTCGTTCTATATCTTTCTATTTCGTACGTAGTATTTCTATATCGATTCTTCCTTAGTTAAATACGGCTTATAGCCTTTATATATATTACTAATAATCTTTTAGTATACCGTTATATTATTTATACTATACTTATACTTTTTTATATTTATAAACTTTATAGTTTAGGTATATATATTCGTAGTAATCTTCTTTATTATATTTAATTCGTTATATAAGTCTTTAAAAGATTAATAGTTTAAATGCCTTAGAGTAAGTAGCGTTATACTATTCCTTTATTTTAGCGTATTTATAGATTTTATATATCTCCGAAAGATATCTCGTTAATAAACTATAATTATTATAGTATTTAAGTAGCGTGCTATAATTAGGTTCTAATAATATAACTTAGTCGTTCGGGTAGCGTTAATCGATTTTCTAGTAGTCTAGTTCTATGCTTAGGTAGGGTTTCGAAAGTACTTATCCTTTAAACCTAACTAGGAAGGCATTATATCGTGCCTTTATCTAGAAGTATATTATATAATCTAGGTAAACGTATAATATCTATAAAATATACTTATAGTGCTTATAAGTAAGTAGTATTTATAGATCGTCTCTAAATTCTCCTTATAGTTACTATTCTCGTTATAAAGCTATAAAGGTATTAACTATAGCGATAGCTATAGTATAGTCTCCTCTATATAGTACTAGTTAATATCGAATTAATATAGCTTATTAGTTTTCTATAAGAATTTAAGGTATTTATTAGGTTCTAATTTTAAGTATTTCTTTAAATTCTTTAAAGTATAGAGCGTATTCTCTAATTATAGTATTTTCCCTTAGTAGCGAGGGTAGTAGTATAAGTTCGTTCTCGTCTTCCGTTTCTCTAGGTATTTCTTATTCTTTAGAGCTTATATTATCGATACTTTATTATTCTTCCTTAGGTTATTATCCGAGTTTTATAAGTATAAGGGCTATATCTATATCTTCTTTATTATATTATTTATAGACTACCTATCGTTATTATCGATTTTTATTTCGTATATCTTCCTAGAATCGTTTGCCGTTCTTCCTAATTTAGTCTTAGGAGACTCCTTTAAGGTAGGGGTATTCTAGTTCTACGAATTTAACTTATTTTTATATTTTAGGATCCCTTCGTTATATTATTATAAGGGTTTTCCTTAGTAGCTTTAGGAACTATCCGGTATTATTCTTATCGCTTAGGTATACTATATATTTATCGTCGTAGTATATAGTCTAACTAAGGAGTTTATACTTTAGTTCCTATCTATTAATAGCGTTTAGGTATTTCTTACCTTTTAGGGCTAGTACCTAGTAGGTTTTCTTCTCCTTATAAGGTTATCTATATTCTTTAGAGTAATATCTAAGTTTTCCGTAGTTAAAATACTTTCCTTTATTTTTCTATATTACGTTTAGATCTATCCTACCTAGGTTAGTTATATAGGCGTAGGTAATAGGGGTTTCGCGCTTCTTTTTATAGTTAGCGCGTTAGTTAAAGTTATTCCTATAGGAAGGGTTCTAGTTTCCTCTTCCTTATTTCTTTTCTTAGCGTCGCGTATACTATCTATTATCGATTCGTACTGCTATAGCGATATAGTTTAAGAGGCCGTCAGGTTAATCTTCCTTATAGAGTTCGTCCTTAACTTCTTCCCTAAGTCCGTCGTAGAATCGCGATATAAAGGGTTCGTCGTTCTATTTAAGTTTTAAGGTAACTTAACGGAATTTAGTAGTATAGTCCGATACTAAGGTCCTTTATCGGACTTCTTAAAGTTTTTATTTAGCTTCTCGTTCTTTATCGGTTATTCTAAATACCTTAGTAATAGCTTCTTTAAATCCTTAGAAACTAGCA